ATCCATTTTCTTTTTGAAATTTACCAATTTACCACAATTTCAATAAACCATCAATTATTATCTCTTTTTATTTTAATGCATTAACAAGTAATGATAACAATGATAACAATGATAACAATGATAACAATGGTAACAATGATAACAATGGTAACAATGATAACAATGGTAACAATGATAACAATGGTAACAATGATAACAATGGTAACAATGATAACAATGATAACAATGATAACATCTATACTTATCATACATATTTGTATTGAAATCTTGCAAATAATCTATAGAACAATTTAATAAAACATTGATAAATAATATATTATCATTCAAGGAGGATTATCTCTTATTTAATATGAATTCAAATTATTTGAAATCGTCTTATCAGTTAAAAGATATAAATTACTCAAGTAATGCTACAATTGACATTCTTTGAAACATCAATTAAATTGATATCAAAAGATTATGGAAAGTATTTTAATTATTTTAGCTAACAAGAAATATTTTAGACATATTTTATTGTTAATTAATCAATTCAAATGACTTTTATTTGAAAACGAAATAGAATAAAAATCGTTTGAACTTTGAACTTTTTCTAAATAATTTCTTTCTAAAGTTATATATTTTTTCCTTTTATTACATACAAAATAATACATTAATGATATTAATTAATACTAAAGGAGTAATCAGTAAGAAAGAAGGAAAGAAAAATGAAAGATAGAGCATACATATATATACACATAAATGAAAATTTATGCACATTAAGAAAATTATGCTACTAATGATTACCGTATGTTGGCAATAATTTTAAAAGACACTTCAATTAAATAAGAAGGATTGATCATGATCATCATCATCTTCATCATCATCATCATCATCATCATCATCATCGTCAACGGCAACACCATCGTCTCTATCATCATTATTACTATCAGTATTATAGTTAAATCACTTTCTGATGAAAATGCAAGCTATTTTTATTTCCTTAAATATATTTCAATTGCAAAATTTTTCAAATGCGTGCAATATCGCATAAAAATTTAATTTTTTGATTCCAAAAATTATAATTATCAAATTAATGGGTCAGAAATTCATGACCTTTTATAATAAATACATTTTGTATGACATGTGTATGTGTGTGTGTGTGTGTGTGTGTGTGTGTGTGTGTGTATGTGTATGTGTGTGTATGCATGTGTATGTATGTGTGTGTGTATATGTGTGTATGTATGTAGTAAATATGCTATAAAAATGGTTTGTAATTTGAATGTCAAAATTTCAAAAATGGTAATTCGAGAAAGAGAGAGAGAGAGATGAAGTGAATCAAATTTGTACATTTCTTGAATAAAATGACAAAAAGTATGTAATTTGAATCTTCCGAAGCGCATTTGTCTCATTTTATGATTGATATTTGATGGCGTTAATATACCATCTACATTTACCATCCATCCATCCATCCATCCATCATTATTTCATCCTTTACTCAATTTTAGACAAATTAAATACACGGAAATAGATCATCTATTTCATCTTTCTTCCATTATAAATCTTTTCTTCATCCCAATTTTTGAATTATGAAAATTAGATTATAAATATGAAAATGAATTATGCAAAATATAAATTAATTATACAAATATGAATTTATCCAATAACTTAGATGGAATTAAAATTGAAATCAGAAATTCATAAATTTGTCAAATATGCCAAAAAAAAGTGTTAATTATTACCTTTAAATTACATTTATTTTCTTCACTTTTTTTTCCTTTTTAATACTTAAAAAAAAAATCATTAAGCAATTTTATGTTTGTTACATAAAATAATCATTTTAATTGAAGATATTTATTGATTGATTACAATCAATTTTTCGATCATTTCATTGAGAAAAGAATTATTGCACAATTTATTTTTATTTATTTATAAAAATAATGATAATTATAGAAAAATAAAGGAATAATTATATCAATAATAATACTTATTATCAGTAATTGTCATAATGATATGATTTAAATATACATGTGCATATACAACGTATTTTTCCTCTTCGTCATTCATTAACTGGTTGATTGATTAATTAATTAATTAATCAATTTGTTGAAAGGAAAAGAATAAAGAAGTTAACAGACACAACTAGTGTTAATGTCCAATCAAAGTTGACGTTGACAATCAATCAAAGTATTGGTGATTATATGACTTTTTACAATTTATCAACTTTATCAAGTTCATTTTATTTCTTAAATAGTAGTAATAATAGTGTAAAAACTGTTAATTAACAATCAATAAGTTAAATTAAATAGTTTATCGAGAATTTTGTAATCTTTTGAAGAAAGTTCGAATTTATATGTTTATATTTGTATTTGCAATGAATTATAAACTATAAATTTATTTATTCTAATTTGTTTATCAACAAAGGTGTGACATCACAATCCGTCCTTTGATGACAAATTCATAAAATTTAATGATAATTTTATCGTAAGTCTAAACCATCCATCATAGCAGCTATTAAATTAATCAACTAAACTTCACAGACTATCAAAATTGTGATCATATCATAAATCAATGCTCTTACAATCGTGTGTTATAAACTTTGATCATCCGGAAATACGTAAAAGTATGCATTCCGTAAAACCGTAAATCCGTTTTTCAAATCAAAAATTGTCATACGTATATGTATAATCAATATTATTTTCGATAGTTATTCAAGCGAAATTTTTCGTTTTTTTTAATAGATTTCAAAGAAATGAATGAAAAAGGAAGGAGAATGAGGAAAAGGATAGAGGAGGAAAATGAAGGAGAAGGAAAACGAAGAAGGCGAAGGAAGAGGAGGAAAAGAATGAAGGAAGAAGGAGGAAAAATGGAGTTTTTTTTTTAACATATAGAATGATTTGTGATAAGAATGGAAAAGTTAATAACATTGGCTATTTTCTTGCAAACAATGCTAATAATTTTCTCTCCTCTCTCTC